CGTGAAATGGCATGTTGTCTCCTTAATAATGTTTGTGGGAATTGTCTTCTCCGTGTGCTGCAAATCTGAACAAATCTTTATCGTGGGAGGAGACGAGCACACCAGGCTAAATATTGAGAAAGGAAATTTTAGATAAAATGTTCACCGAAATATTGGCCAAAGAAAAAAAAAAGAGAGAAAAAAAAAAGACCGGGATGGAAAGTAATAAACACCACGTCGTTCTGTTCTTCCGGGGTCGTTCTTTGATGAAACACACGGCTTTGTCTCGAAGATTTTATAAATAATTATTATGTTATTGTTGTTCAGCAGAATTTTTCGATTCACATTTCAACATTTTCTTCTGAATTCGATTCATATTTTAAAAATAAAAACAGTGCTTCAGACTTGCTGATGATCTTAAATGAAACATTTCGTTTCTGAAAAAAAAGTGTTGAGAGAATAGACAGAAAATGTTATGACAGAACAGTACTGCACAAAAATGTAGTTTTGGTTCTGTTTTTTGCTTTCTGTCGGGAAGAATTTTTTAGTAGACATTCTCTTTGCTAAATTTGCTGGATGAAGTTTTAAAAGTAAGAGGAGTATGTTTACATGCATACTTACGCAAACATACACATACACACACACACACACATACACACAAACACACACACCCGCACATATATTTACTCTCCCTCTCTCTCGCTCTCTCTCTCTCTCTCTCTCTCTCGCTCTCTCTCTCTCTCACACACACACACACACAAACACACATACACACACACTTGCACACATAATTTATTCTCTCTCTCTTTCTCTCACACACTCACATACAAACACACAAACACACACACACACACACACACACACACACACACACACACACACTCACAAACTTAAACACACACACCAACACCACGCAAGTACTTCATCCACATCTCTTGTTGTCCTATGATTGGACTAATGACGCGAGCAGCCAAGACGTCGACCCTTAGTCCACAGGCTGCCCGGGCAGATAACTCACAACATCCCAGGCCCTCCTCTCGTCAACGGAAGCGCACTGTTCCGCGCACGCGCGTAAATCTGTCAAAATTAAGCCCCGGATTTTACCGGGCCGCCAAGCAATTTGGCCGGCCGGAAAGATTTACTCTATTCGTCGATTTGCGAGATCGCCAAACGTCCTGCCCTCCTAATGGCCAACCGTTTCTTTGGTCAGTTCGGTTTTCAGTCGTGGAGGACGACCTGTCGATAAGGCAAGGAGGGAAGGAGACGGGGTTAATGCGCATTCGATGACAATTGATTGGTGGGAGTTGGGCGACAATAACTTAATCCACCTCGGCAATCGCTTGGGGGCTCAAAGGTAGACAAATCTCTGTCATTGCCGGATTGGACTGGGGGCAGACGGGTTGTCTCTTGAGACGGACAGTCGGAAAGAAAACCTTCGTGTTCTGAAGACATGGGAAATGGCGCACACGAGGAGGGGAATCTCTCGTGTTTTGTGACGGGTTTACTAGAATGCCAGAGAGATAATTGATCTTCCATTCACTCATTCCTCCATCGTGCCCCACCCCCTCCTTCTTTGCACTCCTTGTCCATCTTACTCTTTTTCTTTCTGTCATCCACCCCCTGTCTGTCTGCGCGTCTGTGTGTGCCCCCTCTCCCCCCTACCCCCTCCT